TTTAAAATATTTTTTTGATATTCTATAATTAATAAATGAAATAAAAACTATTGAATGAAGAAACCATATAATCTAATCTTTTTGTTATATAGATCTGATATTAAAAAACTAAAAGAAAAGAAATGAAAATATTTAAAATATTGTCTCCATTCCTGTTTGTTTTCGGTGTAACTCTCCTGAATCGTAAATATATACTAGAATGCTCGCCTATGGCTTACTGACCGATTCGCATCCTAGTTTTGACCTTCAGTCTGGGCATTTATTTGATGATGGCTTGTTGTTGGCCCTGTCGTTGTCGTTGCCAATGTCGTTGGTGTTCTTCTGGCCCTGTCTCCCCAGCGGAGGCTGTGTATTCGACTGCGAACAGCAAATTAAAACAATTTTAACAGCTACTTTCGATGTCGTTTGTCGTCGTCTACGTTTGCTCCATAAATAAAACATGTCAACTTGTTATTGCTGCCCCCGACAGACGTTCTATCCATGTGTTTGGTGGGTTCGGTAAGGTTCAGAGGTCTGCCTGCAGCCTGTTATTGTTATTGGAATTGGAATTGGCCAAGCATCGCCTTTGTTATTGAACTATTTACATTTGTTGCTGCAGGGCGGCTGCTAATTTACGACTCTCTCCCGGGCATCAATGAGCCTTAAAGCAGCCGGCAAATTGTTGTTCATAAATAAATATGCCGAACATAAATCCCAATGCTATAAATAAGCGTGGGCACAGGCGTCAAGGAATTTATAGGCATTGATTTTCGGGGGACTCCCATGCCCAAAAGCCGGCAGCAAACCGGAAAAGTGACAAAAGTCTTGAGCGAACCCCAAAAGTGAAAGTGAAACTTTTCTTTGAGGTCTCGGGTCAGCCGCAGCACGTTGTTTCCATCTTGTCTTTCCACTGACACTTATTAGATAAGTTTTTTGCAGCTCGAACAGGCCGTGTACATCATTTTGCCATTTTCCATTCGACTTTAAATTTAATTGCTTGCTTATCTGGTCCAAAAATAAGCGAATGCCAAAGGCGCTTGCCCTCGAATACGTCGGCGTCGGCCAATCCCCAGCTAAGCCGGTCCAATAAGACTTTTTATTGTCTTAGCCGGGCATTTAAATTGATCAAAAATGTTGCCGAGCAAAGCAGAGCTGAGCCACAGAAAAGAAAAACGATGGGAATAAACCTGGTCCTCCCCAGTCTGTGTCTGAGTCGAAGACTGAACCTTTGCCTTTGCCAGTGCCTGAGCCTGAGCCTGACGATTTCATTCAATCTATAAGTAATTTCTTGGCCATTTTTATCGCACTGGCAGGAGAAGATGGCGTTGCTGGGCGATGAGCTGAGACCACCCACGTGATTTGAATATTTTTCCAATAAACTTCAACAGCTTTTCAACAGTTCGAGTGGGGCCAGGAACTGACTATGCCTGGTGCCGCCTGGTGGTTCCCCATCTCACACTGTTTTCATTTACATATTGGATTTAAATGCCCAGACTTCCTTCCATGTCCAGCTGAGTGTTTTCCTGCCTCGCCCTGGCTTTTGTGCCACAGGACCAAGGACCAACGGCCACGAAAAGAAGAAGGAGCCTAAGCTTAATCGAATTTGCCGCAAATTGGCAATAAATTTTAATTTTGAAAGCGATTCCCCAGCGCTGATTGAAGTTAATCAAAGCAAAGCCGCATCCCAGCGAAAGCCTCGAGTGCCCCAGCCTGGTTTTGGCCACAATGCACTTCGGGTCATGCTCTCCATTGTCCCTGTTCGGGGCAATGCACTTCAGCTGCACTTCCGCGTGCAGCCTGCCGCAGCAGGACCCTTCCCCCAAAAACCTATTCAATTTTCAGGTGAAAGCGCGACCGCTCCTGGCAAAAACTAAGCAGCAACCAAGTTGCAAAGAGCAGAAGGCAAAAACAAGGCTTATTTACCTACCTCAGGAAAGGCTTTTTCCTGGGACAGCTGTAACAGCAGCACTAGGAGGAGCAGCTTTTGAAACTACTTCATCAATTTCATTCAGCACAACGGTGCTTTTTTTTTTTCTACTGGCTCTCCTTTGCTTTTTAGATAGTTTGTTTTCTTTGCTTTTTTTTTGGCCCATAATCAACTTAAAAGGCATTGGCAACAACGAACAGGAGCAGAGACTAAGCCCAGACCATGGCAATATGGCGTTGTAGTTGTGGTATATAGCTGTTGCTCGTTGCTGGTTGCTAGAAGCTGTCTGCTGGTTGCTAGATGGCCTAAGTCCTGGGCGACCACGCCCACTGTCCGGCCATGTCCCGTCGCCTGTTTGTCGCCGCCCGGAACACCCACCGCGGAAACGAATTTGACGAGGCATGCGGCACTTGCAGAACCAGCGTTTCGACACTAATTTCATTTGGTCGGAGCATTTTTTGTGGCCAAGCCCTCCAACAAAACAAAGCCCCCGGAAACGGATGGGCAACAGTTAAACGTGGAAAGCCACCAGGATTTCAATGCAAGGAGCCATTCATTCCACGAATAAGTTGTAATTGCAGGGCACTTTGTTTGAGTTCAATTTGCTAGATGCTTACAAAAAACAGCTGACGCACTGACAGACTCAATGTCTGGGAAGCTGTAGAAATTTTCGCAAAGTATTTATTTATTTTGCACGCAGCCATTGCTTTTGCCCAGAGAGTTAGTTGAAAACTGCAAATGGTTTTCAGCGCAACGCGGTTAAGACACCCGAGCAAACAGACGTTGATGGTCGCCTCTTGTTTCCTTTCATTTAACTTGGCTCTCAAAGGCTGTCTGCAATTTACTCATTTTCCGCAGCACCCAAAGGACTCGTGAATCAGCAAAACGGAACTTTAAACAAGGATAGAAATTAAAGATCGAATGTACTTTTTAAAGAGCTTGGTCTCTTGACTTTTTGTTACTCTCATTTTGTCAATATTAATTAATTATTTGTTGACTTTCGGTTGTTTTCAATAAAACAATAATTAAAGCTATTTTTGTTTATATTGTAAATATTTTATTTAAGCTTGAAAGTCAACACAATTTTAAGATTTTTCTTTGTGTGATGAATATTTTAATTTATTACTTTTCCATCTAATTTATTTGGCTTTTTAACATTTCAAACATTGCCCTCCCATACTCGTACAATTCCCCTTTGGCTTTAATGCTCTTGAATGATTTCTATATGCATTATATACCCCCAGTCTGACAATCGCATTGGAAATGCGTGAGCGCCTCGCTTTAATGCGAATTTCTGATTGCGCCCGAATGGCTTCATTTATTTTCGCCGCCATCAAGCAGCAAAAAAATCAAGGAAAACGAGGCAAGCTGAAACTGTTTGGGAAAGGATAACTGCGAAGAGCGCAAAAGGAAAACAAACCCGACAGTTGTACATAATATTTCACTTATGCATGTGCGCCCCCTCTGAGCCTCAGAGTAAAGTGAAATGAATGAGTGAGTGGCATGCGTGGCGCTAGAAAATTTGTTATAGCAATTTGAACTGTCAACGAGAAACCGAAAAAGTAAATTAAGAAACATTTGAAATTTAATTCACTTGCCAGTCGGAGTCGGATCCTTGTGGGGATCCGGGGACTCCTCTACCCAAATATATAATATAAGCACACCTACGATACATACACATGGTATGCAATATGTGCGCACATTAGAGGTGGCTTGTGAGTGGCAGCATCATAGTCGCACCAGAGCAAAGCACACCTGTCTGACTGCCTGACTACCTGGTTGCCTGACTGCTTGCCTGCCTGCCTGCCTGCCAGGTGACACCTCCGCCACTTGAGTACAGTAACGCAGCAACGGGGAGAACAACTGACAGACCCCAAACACACACCCGCTCACTTACAGACAGTCGGACAGAGAGACAGACAGACAGACAGGCAGAGAGACAGTCGTAGACCTGCAAAATTAGGCGAGTGTCACGAATTTAAAATAACTTTTAATTCATTCTTGATGAACATATGCATATGTACGTTGTTGCCACTGCCACTGAGAGTACCACACGGCGTATGAGTGCGGCTGGGAAATGAGCCCCAGTGCGAGTGTTCTCGAGCGAGTGTGCGAATGTGCATGTGTGTAAGTGCGGCTGCCACGCCTCTTAAGTGCCACATAACTCGAGCTTAGCATAAACAACCGCATTCGCATAAATGTTCGTTAAACTCAACCCGACACAACCAGAAATGTGGTGGAGCCTAAGAGATCTTTTGCCATACCGCCCACCTAGCCACCTGGCCGCCCACCTGAGCCACATAATTATTTAGTTTCCAGTTGGACGGAAACTGTGCTACTTGGGTAAATAGGGAGAATTCCCCAGCTCCAGCCCCAGCTACAGCCCGCCGTCCCTTCCGATGTCTTCGATTGTCATAAATCAACATGGACCCTGGGCTCGGGGAGAAGTCCTGGCTGTTGTCAACCGATTGTTTGCTGTTGGCATATGTTCGCTCCGATGCTCGACACCCGACGACCGATGCCCATTGCCCCAGGCCCGATGCTCCAAAAGCTTGACAGGTGCAAGTTTGAGCGACCCACTTAACAGAAAAATTTAAATTTCAGTTTGAGCACAGAAAGAAATTGGATTCAAAGTTGGACTTTCGCAACTGTCACTCAATAAAAACAATCTAAATAAAATTACTTTCTAAAACTGTATCAAATCAATTTACGGATGAAAAGTGGCTTTTAGATATCTGACACTTTTCTAACAACAATAAATTCATCAAAATGAAAACACTGGATTGCAATTTAAAGTTGAAATATCTAGAGTACATTTTGGAGTTTTGTCAGTGCATTTGCACGCCAAAGTTTCCAGTTCACTTGCCATGGGGAAATAAGCGAAAAGAGAACCCAGAACCTGGCGAAATAAAAGTTAGCGTAAATTATGCGCCAACGTGCGCGCCCCAATAAAAATAGAAAGACCAGCAAGAGCAAAGGAAAACAAAACCATCGGATCTCGAATGAAAGGCCTTATGCCGGGATGGCGGTGCATTGAACCGCGCAACGCGATGCCTTTGCTTTTCCTAAACAGGATACCACCGGCGATACGAACCTTTTGGGAGGAATTGCTCAGCTCCTCAACTGTTCCAGCTGGCAGCTGTAGTTGTTGCGGTTTCTGCTCCCTGGGTTATGCTTTCTAATCCACGCACGTTTCGCTTTTAATATTTATTTTGCGCTTTTTCACACTTTGCACACTGAGCCAAGGCACACCGCACACCGCTCACCGAGAGCCGGCACTTCAAAGGATATAATCGGAAGGAGTCGAGCTGAATTGAGCTGAGCTGTTGAAGGCTCGGGTCCTGGGGCTCTGATTATCGGCGGAGCGGATTGGTTTTTGTTATGCACGACGAGCGGCGCGCACAGTTCATCAATGCAAATTGCCACTGAACCACAACCGCGTTATCGGCGGGTTATCTGCCCCTGCCCTCAGCGACAGGCAATGCATTGAACCCGGGGGATTCTGTTGGTTTGTTTTTGGTATTCTGTTACACTTTTTTGCAGTTATCGTCCCAGGAATCCCCTGGCGATTCTCGACCAGTTAGTCTCACTCTAGTCTTTTTAATCTCACTCGAGCGGGGTAAGCACAAATGTTATTTAATTATCGCCGAACGGCTATGCGAATGTTGTTGTTTACTTCTGGGCCATGCCAGGATTCAGTTTTGCCTCTGGGACCAAATTTGCACCGTTACACTAACCGACCCGCACGAAGGATGTTTTCCAACTGATTCGTATTGAATTTCGAAGCGGAACGAGGCGAAGCCCCGACCCGAAGTCCCGCTTCGGCAAAGGACTCCGACGCCGCAGCCGAGTGTGGAACTCAAACGAATCCTTTCCGGCGAAATGAAACGATTCGGAAACGGGGATTCGGAATGTGGATGCTGTGTGCCAAGTCCATGGCGTTCCGCTCCTCCGCCTGATAAGAGGCTACTGCAACTTTTTGCCCCCGCGCATTGACAACAATTTATTTTTTGCACGTTGCTCGCATTTAAATGTTTTTGCTTATTGTCTGTCTCTCGCAGGGAATTTGCTCCACCGAACGAGTGAATTTCAGCTCGCCGGGCTCGTGGATGGGTGGCAGGATGCCAGGATGGCTGGGGTGGTAAACTTTTTTTTAATCACTTAAAAATGTATGCGCCTTTTTTCGACACGTGCGTGTCAAAATGCGGCGTCAAGGCAAAGGGTTAAACGTCAAGAAGGACAATTTGTTGCCAAGTTTATTACAGTGACAAACAAGCCGAAACCAGGCCAAGTCCTCGTGTTGTTTATACATGACTCCTGGTCCGAACTGCACGCGCTAAAGACATCACGCAGCGATATGCAATGGCAGAGTTAATGGCTATAATCCCGAACGAGTTGGACAACTCAGTTCAGCCGAGCAGCCGTTTCTTTTTACGAGTGCGTAATAAGAAAGCGTGAGACGTGCCACACGGACGTGATCCCGTTCCGCCCTCCCATCGATGCTTCCTTCGGCACTGCCGCCAAATCGTTGAGTTTTAAAATTAAGCACGCACCCCTATCCTAATCCCGGCCAAATTAAAAACACTATCCCGGCCAAGAGAGGCGTTTAGAGCCAAGGCGAGAGAGCCCGTCCCGAAGGAAAGAGCGCCGAGTTAGTTACTGGGTTACTAGGCCAGCGCCTTAAGCCGGCAATTAAAATCGGTCTTATTGGCCGGGACCGATGCAAGGAGGTGTGTGCAGTTCGCACCTTTTGATGCACTTCAACAGCTGCTTGAGCCCCCAAGAGTCTGGCGTTGCCATTTGACACTCTCTCTGGCGTAGGTGGAGCTGGGCTCGAGTTTAGCAAGTATTTTTCAATTATAACGTCGGCGAAACTTGCACGCCTGATAAGCACAAAAGTTTTTCATTGTCAGCAGCGCCTAAACCGAAACTTTGGCCCTGGCAAATTGCACGACCAGACACTCTACGGGCGCCTATCAATCTACTCGTAATACAAATATATGTATAGGCCAACCCACCCAACCACCGAGCCATCGTGCCATGGCATAACAAAATGTTGGCATTTCGAGCTTCCGATTCCATTTCGTCGGATGTCTTTTTTATTCTGCGGTTGCTCGCGACATATTTAAATCAGAATCGGGAGACTTGAATCGGCTTCCGGCCGCTTAGGCAGTTGAAAAATTAACTTGTCCGACAACTGGCGCCAGCAAATCAGCAGAGTTTTGGTATTTGATAAAAGCCTGGCACTTGAAAAAAAAGACCAAGAGTAGAATGATTGTTCAACAAAGAAATAAATCAAAGTTTTTTACGTCTCAAGTTACCTTTTAAGAAAAGAAGCGTTAGAAGCTACTGGAACTTCTAGAATAGAAGCCACATTATATTGGTTTCTGACTATCAAAAATAATTTCTCCGAGTGTGGTTTTGGGAAAGCTTCTAATCTAAGTGCTATGGGATCATCAGCGATGTGACAGCACCGAGCACTGACCATGTGGGCCACGATGTTTTTCGGGTGCGGCAAGAGTGCTATTGGAGTGCGAAGTGTCCCTGCCCAGCATTAAACTGGACAAAGCCCTGCCTGTTGCTGTGGTGCGTTGCTTTTGCCGTTGCCGTTGATGTTGATGTTGCTGTCTGCTGACATGAGCTGCAAAGTGCGGCACGTGTTGGCGTAACAATTTGGCAGGGCAGCCGTTCAGCAGCAGTGCCCAAAAACAGCAGATACGGATTCGAGGGCGGCTGGAGGCCGGCAAGGACAATGGCAAACGCTTTTATGTGCCGTAATGAAAAACTGTTATCTGCGTGCGCAATTTGAACGCAATTTGGTAACGCGTTTCGCCACATAAAACTTAAGTGACCCGAAACCAGTCCGACAGGAGCTGCAGTAGCCCCGAGATCTGAAGGAGATTCCCTCCTCTCGCATGTGTGTGTTTATGGCCCAGCGTGCAGCTTGCAAAACTGTTGACATTCGCAGGAAAATCAAAAGGCCAAAACGTTAAAGCCAAAGCCAAAGCCAAAGAGGCAAAGCAACGACAATGACAACGACAACGGCTACGTCGATGGCTGTGGAGAGCTCGAGTGTGAGAAATGAAATTGTTTGGCTATTATGCAGCATTAAAGCCAAATGTGCCGTATACATCCGTTTCACTTTGTCGTCACTTGACGGTGACGCACTTTATTTTTATTTACATGTCAGTCAACTAAGGCACATAGCCACGCCTCTTAACCATGTACCCTCCGCTACCGCCATGCCCCTGACAGATTTGTTGCAGCTGCGGCTTTTGGCAAACTATCATTAACATGTGGCACACCGTACACCGGAACCACCCAACCTCCCAGCCTTTAACCCTTCATGCCACAAAGCAGCAACAAGAAAAAAACATGACGAGAAAACGAAAAATTCTGCTCTTTTGCAGTTTTTATAACTTTGCCTGGCTGGTGCTTATTTACTTGTAAAATTTATTAAATATTTTTGTGGCTGTTGCCTTGCTTTGTCCTCTTTTTCTGTGTTTCCCCCAACCCCATCCCCATTCCCTTCGTTTTTGTTTTGCTTTTTTGGTGTACCACAAAATTGCTGACGTTTTTAATCCTTAAGAAGCTTTTGGCTCACATTTTTAGTGCACAGTGCGCCAGGGAGCGGGTGAGCTTCACCTTTTTTTCATTTTTTTAATATGCATTTTGCATAATTTTCATATAAACATTACTCATACGCCATGTGCACAGTGCAGAAGAAGCGGCCACAGCCGCACCAGAGCAACATAATAAGCCAAACAATTTAGCCAGCTTAACACAAATGAAATTTTGAGCCCGGCGCACTAAACCACGGCTTTAATTTGATTGGCCCAGGTAGCATACAAAGGTACACTCACCTAACCCAACCGCCTCATCAATCCATCTTGCCGCAGCAGCTCTTGCACCATGTGTTGGGCTAATAAACTTTTATGGACCAAAAGAGAGCGCAAATATCTGCGAAACTTTGCTCCGAAAATGCAATTGAAAAACATAAACCATAGCCAATATTAGACAACAATAACAAGCCGGCAGCGATGCTGGTCAGTCTGGGAAGGGGATAAACTCTAAATAAAATCATTCCACAACCAATGATCCCCTTATCTCTCTGATCCCCCGGAAACACAATCAAACCCTTACTATGCTGCTGCTGCAGATGCGAATATTTTTGTGCGGGCCCAAGCTAAACGACTACTGCTTTTGGCGCCGGCGGCTATCAAATTTTAATTAAAATTCAAAAACCAATAAATGCTCTGCAAGAAACAAAAACGGGCAAAAAGCCCTCTTCACAGCTCTGGCCCGAATTACCCTGAGAAAATAAACTTGCATGTGGTATGCGGCACAAAAGGATGCCACTAAAACCATCTATTAAAAATATTTTCCATGCATATTATTCTATGCACTTTTTCGATTAAATTTATTATTTCGTTCAATCCTTTGTGGTGGGTGCCAGACTGCCAGTGTCTGGCACTCTCGGCATTTTAAAATAATGTTTATGCCTGCTAATTGGGAATACCATAATCAATCACAGGTCGATCAAGTCAAAGAAGGATGGCACCCCCTATCGGCATTGTTTAATATCGAAAATATTTGAAAAACCCTAACAAAGAAATTAAGTACTTTATGAAAATTCTTTGCGGTGATGGTTAAAGGGTTAGCAAGGTAATTGTATAAATTCACAATAGTCGAAGTCTTCGTATGGCAAAAGTTTTTCTCAGTTCAAAGAACTAAAGGGCTTTTGCCTGGTAATTAAGCACAGAGAAGAAACAATGCCTGGACATTTTCCAGTCGCTTGCTCAACTTTTCTGTATTGTTGCTTCTGTTTCTGTTTGTTTGGCTTATAGTTCAGACTATGGCTGAGAGATATGGTCGCAGCTAAAGCGAAGCTGCACTACCTCGGTGCTGGCATTGTTTATGTATCTTAAGGATAATGACGCGCTTCATTATGCGCCTGTGTGAGGATGCCAGGAAAGCTCCTGCCCGCCTGCCTGCTTGCCAGCTACCTCTTAGCACTCCTGCTCAGTGCTCCTGGCGGTTTTGCTTTATGTTTTCGTTGAGTATTTATTTTTATTTTTTAAGTTCGCCGTTCGTCTTTTGCGTAAAAACTTTTCGACTCCTAGACGTCGCGACGTTTTTCCAGAGATAATAGAAACTCGATACGCTTGGCGCATCTAAGCTCTATCTATGGCTGACTCGTCGGTTGTTTTGGCATTGTTCTCCCTTCGTCTTTTGTTTTTATTTACCCACACCGGAGAAAGCGGCTTTTACAAGCAGTAAATTTAAGATGATTCTGCTCCGGCTCGTGCTCCTACTCCAGCTCTTGCCTGAGGATCCTTCCGCGTTCCCCCCGCCACCGGTTCGCCTTGCAGTGTGGTTGAAATAAAAATGTTGAATCGTCATAAATGGCTCCATAAACTACGTCAATAATGCCCATGCCCCCAATGCCTGGCCTCGACATCGCAATGTTGCCGGGTAACTTGTGCGGCAGCCGCCAAGAATGAGCATAAAAATGAAAATGAAAATAAAAATAGTTGGCCAGCATAAACGCCTCCGTGATTTTTACATAAGAATAGGCCAGCCACCCCCAAAGCCATGTCCAAGCCAATCCTTAGTCCGAGATCAAGTTGGAGTTCCTTCTTTTTTTCTGCAAGAGCTTGTTTTTTATTGTTTGCATTGCGACGTCATTGCCATGGGCGCGAAATGCTGGCTAGAATTAATTAAAATGAATGAGGGGACATGTCATAAACAA